TCTCAACTATCCGTTGAGCCTTCAAATATGAAATCACTCTACTAGGAACATAATCCAGTGAACCTCTCCACTCAACCCTAGGCAACCCCAACATCTCCAAATCACGGTCTTAGCATGACAATCCAGAATAGCGTGACATGGTGACAACCAATCCATGCCTAAAATCACGTCAAAATCAACCATGCTAAGCAGTAAAAGATCAACTCTCGTCTCTAATCCCCCAATAGTCACCACACACAACTGGTATACATGGTCCACAATAATAGAATCACCCATTGGTATAGATACATGAACAGGCATAACTAAAGAATCACGGGGCATATCCAAATATCGAGCAAAGTATGATGACACATATGAATAAGTGGAACCAGAGTCAAATAATATCGAAGCCTCCTTGTGGCACACTGAAATACTTGCGAGCACGGCATCGGAAGCAACTACCTCTAGCCTGGCTGGAAATTACGTAGTAACGGGCCTGACCACCATCTGATCGACATCCCCCTCTAGGGAGACCCCGTGCTGACTGTGCCCCACACCTAGCTAGTTGTGCGAGTGGCATAGCTACTGGTGCTGAAATCATAAGCTAAGAGCTCTACCGTGGAACCCTACTCAATAGTCTAGGGCAATCTCTCTTGAGATGACTCAAGTTTCCACACTGTAAAGAACCTCTCCTCTAACCGAGTTACTGACCATGATAATCTGAATAACTGCCTGTGGAACCCTATACAGATGAGGCATGGTAAGAACTCTATGTCGGCAACGCACTGAATGATGACTGAGCTAGGTGTGCACTGTAGAAACTATGGCTAACTGAAGAACCACGAGGAACATGGCAAGATGCCTGAATGAGTCTAGAAGGACGACCTCTATTGTAATGGGACTAGCCTCGATATGAGGCACTGTTGAAACCACCTGAACTATGAGGCCTCTTGGCCTCCCGCTTCTCACGATCCAACCTGCGAACCTGCTCTAAGTTTCTAGCAATCTCGATAACCTGGTCAAACCTAGCATCCATCGCAACCTCTCGAGCCATACTAAAACGTAAACCATAGCTAAGGCCATTAATGAACCTCCTAATCTTCTCCCTCTCAGTGGGAACCAACAATACTACATGACGATCCAAATATGCGAACCTCATCTCATAGTGAGTCAATGTCATACCCTCTTAGTATAGCTGCTCAAAGTGCCTACGCAATTCCTCTCTGCAAGTCTATGGGACAAACTTCTCTAAGAAGAGAAATGATAACCCATGCCATGTAAGTGGTGCTGCACCAACTAGCCTGCTCAACTCATAAGTCTACCATCATCTGTAGGCTGCCCTGTCAGCTGAAAAGTAGTAAAGGCAACCCCACTACTATCCAAAATACCCGTTGTGCGAAGAATCCACTAACATCTGTCTAGAAAATCTAGAGCATCCTCTAACTCTGCTCTACTCTAACTCTAGAGGCTTAAGCCTCAAACCGCTCTAACCTCTTCTTCTCCTCATCACTCAAAAGTGGACCAACCTCGGACCGAGCAACGACAACCAGTTAAACAGGCAATACACCCGGTGTTCGGTGACCCTCAGCTAGCTGCTCAGGAGTACGAGCGGCAAAAGTCTGGGAACCTTCCCAGCCTGTGAGGTGGGTGGTGCAGCTAGAATCAAAACCTCCTGAGCCAGGCTCGTGCACACAGTCAAAATCTGGTATATGGCCTCTTGAAGGCCATTAATAACAATGGGCACTGTTGGTGAATGAGTTGTCCCCACCGACTCAATAATATCTGGTACCTGCTCCTCAGCTGGAGCGTATGGTGGCTCCATAGGTGCTGCTCTAGTTGTAATACAAGCCCAACGTCGGCCTCTACTATGGCCACAGCCTCTCGCAGCCCTAACTGGTGGTACTGGTGGCCATCTGCCTGATTCGGTCGCACGTGTCCTCACCATCCGTGAGAGAAAAGAAGAGTAAAGTTTCAAACTACGAAAAAAACAAACCCGCACGACAAGAATGCAAGAAAGTGAAGTTTCCTTACAGTTCGGTAGCCTCTGAAGATAAGTATAGATGTCTCCTTATTGATCTGCAAGACTCTATTAAACTTTGCTCATGACTCGTAATACCTATGAACCTAGGGCTTTGATACCAATTGTCATGAACCAAAATCCAAACCAATCATGATGGTGCCTAAAACACTTGATAGCCAAGCCGGACATAACAATAATAAATCATAACAGTAGAAAAGAAAGAAATAACATGAGTCTAAAACCTTAATATAGCACAATACCGCTAATACATGATAAATCTCCCAGAAACTAGTAAATACAGAGTCATAAGCTCTAATACGATAATACAAGTCTGAAATGACCAAGTACAATACTATCTCAAATAAAGTCAACAGTACATAAGAAAAGAGATGCCAAGACTGTGGTCGAGGATGCAGTTCTACCTCGTCTCTTAATGATCCAATCTGCTACAAGTCTCAGCTACTGGTGACTGGGTTCGACGCCTGGATATGTACAATTAAGTGCAGAGTATAGTATGAGTACAACCAACCCAATGTACTCAACAAGTATCATAACTAACCTCGACGAGGTAAAAGTAGCAAGAATTATAAATGATATTTGCTATAACCTGTACACTTTCATCAATTCATCAAGTACATAACAATAATGTGATCAAGTCATAAAGCACATAAAGAACCATCTGCATGTGCACAATTACTCAAGTTTTCTTAGGAGTCAACGATATATCATATGAAGATGATATGCAAATAAATCGGGTAATTAACCATGAAAATTGCTAGTAAAGATGAAATGCAAAATCCAGAGCAAACATTGGCCAGATTTTTCTTAATATTTCAATATCCATACCAAACCACTGATCAGTTTTCCTCAAATCTGCGTGTACACCATCAAGAGAGAAACATGAGAGGGTGACGCTAGGGAGGTGGATCCATATCCACACACTGCACGGACAACTCATGTGCTACATAGATAACTCACGTGCTAATAATATCAACCGCACGGACAACTCACGTGTTGCACGGACAACTCACGTGCTAATAATACAAATATCTGGATCCGCACGGACAACTCACGTGCCAATAATCACAATTCACTCGACATGGTCACATGCTACCAGTCCAGATCATAAGACACAGAAAGCAAATATACGAGAATACATGTACATGATCATTGATTATCAAGTTTTATACTCTTGGACTATTATAAATAACATGCTAGGGTGTAGCGATGTGCAATATGTACTATCACAGCTAGAACAGACAATTTCATCATGAAAAAGTAGTTTATCAGGTTCAATAGGAAGAATAACCTCAACGAAATCTCAAAGATGGTACAAATAACTTAAAGAGGGGTACAAATGAAGAAACATCACAGCTTGAAGCTTACCAGTCAATTCAAGGCATATCATAGCCTGAGCACTACCCCGAACATGAAAATAGTACCCTGGTGCACGCATATAGACCTCCGGATGACCTGAATCTAGCCAAATTAACTTAATATAATCAATAAAAGTCATAGGAATCAAATCCAAATGATAAAGCTAAGATCTTTAATCAAAATCAAAAAGTTAATCCCGGGACCACACCTTGGAACCCATCCAAACTCACAAATTTCGAACACCCATTCGATTACGAGTCCAACCATAACAATTTCATCCAATTCCGACTTCAAATCGGCCTTCAAATCCTCAATTTACACTTTAGGAAAGTTTTTACCAAAATTCCTAAATTCTCCAATTCAAATCACCAATTAAATGATAATAACAAAGATGGAATCATGAATAATGGACAAATTCGTGTCAATAACATTTACTCTGATCCAAATCGTGAAAATCCCTCCAAAATCGAACTCTACAACTCAAAATATGTTAAATTGAACCAAGCCCTCGAAATAGAGTACTATATAGTCTGCCCAGGCATTATGCATCGCAATCGCGAGACCTACATCGCTATCGCGAAGAACAAATAATCTCTGCCCCATAAATAGCCTACACGAATGCGAGACCCAGCTCGCAAACACGATTTTTAAACATCCTGCCCCATCGCGAATGCAGGCAACCTTCTATGATCGTAGCTTAACACCTGATGCCCCAGTTGAACGCTTCTTATCACTACTAAAAATTCGGACAAAACCGTCCAAAAAAACCGACCAAAGTTGGTCGGTAATGGCCAATAACCGTCCAAAACGCGACCATTTACATGTGGACGGTATTTTGAAGGTCGGAAGGGCATACCGACCAAAGTTAGTCAGAAATTACCGACCAACTTTGGTCAGTCAATTAAATTGAAAAAAAAATCCGAAAAAATCGATCAAAGTTGGTCGGTTTTTTAACTATGTAATTAAAAAATGCACCATCTGAGAATCGAACCGGGGTCTGTATTGTGGCAGGATACTATTTTACCACTAGATCATTGTTGTATTTTGTTTTAAGACTATCTTCCAATTCATTTATACTCTTTAATTATATTTTTGCACGAAAATAACCGACCAAATGACGAGACATAAATATTTCAAACTTACATACAATTTGAGCATCATATGGAATTTGACTCCAATTTCCTTCCAATATATTCTATGTTCCAACTTTTGAAAGCTTTTCACTTGCGAAGGTACCGCTGCCTTTATTAAGCAACAAAAATAACAAAATTAATAGTAATAACAATTTGTTTAATGGGAAAAAATTTAAATATATTATCTCAATGCATTAAAATGCAGCACCTAACTGCACGTCCAAATACTCTTTTACATCTTTCGAAATTTATCATAATTAGACCCCATCCAGGCATCACGTGGTCTAGCTGGACAAACAGATAGATGTGACTTTCAATGATGGTTATCTAAATATTAGAAAAATCTAAAATGAGTTTTTACATAAGATTCTCTCCTTCAAATTAATTATTAAGGTTTGAAAAAAGCAAAGCAAAATGAGTGTATTTTAAGCGAACGACCCCACATGCCACATGTATAGAAAAAGAAAAAAATTAAGGTTTTGTGATTCAGAATCAGAGCTCTACCATCCATTAATTACCCATGCTGAGATTTTCCACAACTCTTGCACTTTCATGATGCCTTAAAAAACATTATACTACTAATACTCCTAATTTAAGGCTCTTTAATTCTACCTTTTTTTTTCTTTCTTTTCCTTCCTACTTAAGGATTTTGGTCATTGGTGTAGCAGATGGAGTTTAAATTTGGAATCTTCTGGTGGGTATAGAAGAAAGTTGTTAATGTCAGAACAACTGTGTTAATAGTATTTATTTAGAATTGGAGGAGTTGACCTAAATTTATTGTTTCATTTGGAAAAAAGAATTCTTTTTTCTCTTCACTAAGGATTTATCTCTGAACTGAGATTTTGGGTTTTTTTCCCCCAACAACTTATAGAGAAGAAAGGAACAAGATTTTGGAGGGTATTGTTGACTGTTTTGGGGGATTTTCTGAAGTGGGTATTTGCTACTTTCGGCGGAGAGTTCAAAGATCTGATAAAGTTTAGATTTTTGAAGGGTTTTAAGGGCTGTTGGATTTGTATTTTGTTGTTTTGAAGCAGCTCAAGTGAGGGCAATTTGGTCTTACTTGGGGTGCTTTATGTGGATGAATTGAAGGGTTTTGGGTTCAAAAGTTGAAATCTTGAGAGCTTTTGAGTGTAATTTACACCGTGAGGAGATGGCATGTATGAAGTTGGGATCCAAAACAGATGCATTTCAAAGAAAAGGGCAGGCCTGGTATGTGGTTACTCTTCCCGTATAATGAAGCATTTTTATTAGTCTACTGTATGTTTTATGTTGATCTAGTTAGCCTCTTCTTTTGTATTTTTTGTATAGCTGAAACAGCCTCTCTCCCCTCGTAACGTAGGGGTAATGTCATCATATACACTACCCTCCCCAGAACATACCTGTGGGATTTCACTGGGTTTGTTGTTGATTAGCCTCTTGTTTAACTTTTGTTTTCTTTTTAATTAACCATTGAACATCTTCCAGAGTTTTCTTCATAGGCTCTGTGTGTTGTGCATAGACTCAGTACAGAGAGGGGGGGGGGGGGGGTTCTTTTTTGCAATATGCCCCTGAAATTTTGTTTCTCTCACTAAAGATAAGTGATGCAGTCCAATTTATCTTGTCTGGTTTGTTACTATGTAGCCTATGTTGAAATCTGATTACTTGTTAGCAGATTAAACCATAATTGGCTAGCTGCTTGAAACCTGTAATTGGATTTATCACAAACTTTTCATATTCGAGCAAGTGATCTCTGAAGAAAAATTCTGCTCTCCTCGTGGTTAAGTGTGTATGTGCAATACATCTCAGTTTTACTGCGAAAACATGTAGATCTGTTGTTAACCTATTAAGATTTTGCTGCTATTGTTTCCTGTAAGTAATGTAAATATATTATTACTCATCAAAAGCACCAGACAGTAATTGCCATGATGGAGAAATCGATGCACTGGAAAAAAGAGAAAACACCTTGTAACAAAATAGAGATGGCCTTTCCATTTACTCAAATCCTTTTGACCAGAAGTACATGATATAAGGCAACATATTTAGGTCTAAGAAATAGAGTTTGTTCGACAGTGTGTTGCGTATTGTTCATGTAGCCTACATCAGGGAATAAATTACTGTATAAAGTTTGTGTCTGTCTTTCAAAGTTCACACTTTACCTTTAGCTGTTATGCCTGTAGGTTCTGCACAACTGGTCTTCCCAGTGACATTGTTGTTGAAGTTGAGGAAATGACTTTCCATCTTCACAAGGTAAAGTTTTCTCTGCACAAATTTACTCATCTAGTAATGTATAGGTCAATTCAGCAGCACTACCAACTTTCTTTCTTGTGGATAAGAATTTTGTTCATGAAATAATGTTATCCTCCCGTTTGCATCAAATTTTTGGTGTCTAAAGTTCAATTACCTCTTGGTGGATCTCAAAAGTGCACCTTATTCCTGCTCATTAACTAGGGATAATGCATAAAATCCCCCCTGAACTATACCCGAAGTTGCTACGACACACCTTACCTTTGCGGGGGTCCTATTACCCCCTAAGCTTTTTTTTCCCTTAATTCTTTGCACCTTTATTGCTGACGTGGAGCACAGCGTGAGAACAACTCCTTCAAGCGCGTGAGAAATTATTAAAAAGGGCTATAACCTATACGAAATGGCCACGTGTCAATTCCAAAGCTGATTTTCAAGAGCTCTTCATCCCTATTTTATCACCCATATTCAAGAGCTCCAAATCATATTTTTGGTGTCAAAATTCAACAAAAACTCGGCTAAATCCGCACCAATCAAGCTCAAATTTCAACTACAACTTCACAACAACCTCATCATCATCATACCCCAGTGATCAATTTGGCCAACAACCAAGAATTTTGACAAACCCATTTTTTTGTTCTTTAAGCTTTTTCAAGGTTAAGCAATGGTGGATTCAATTTTTTTTTTCATTTTCGAATCTCATCTACAACTATGGATTTGGAATGAATTTAGCACTTGAATCTCAACTTTAAAACTTCAACGACGTCCGAATATGCTCAACACCTCTAATAATTTTTTAAGTTCATACAAAAATAATTGTCCTTTTCATTTTTCTAAATACAAAATAATATTTCCATTACATTTCGAATTAAAAAGAAAAGAAAAAGGAAGAAAATGAAATAGATTTTAAAAAAAAACGAAATTACATGTGGCAGCGCGTGTAATTCACCGCTTGCCAAATGTTTGGTTCTCTATACCACGTCAGCACTTAGGGTGACATTTATTCCACTTTAAAAGAGTTTAGGGGGGTAATTGGACCCCCGCAAAGGTAAGGTGTGTCGTAGCAACTTCGGGTATAGTTCAGGGAGGATTTTATGCATTATCCCCATTAACTACCTGCTGTACCATATTTTTTAAAAACAGCTTTTCTTTCTCTCTTTTTTTTTCTTTTTTTCTTTTGAGTATTGTTGCTTCAATATTTGACGAATTTAGGCCCACATACTCTTGTCGCCTTGTAATTACCTCTTATGATATGACTCACATCTTGCTGTCTGCTTTAGTATCCTAGATGTAGCTTTTCCTGCTTGCTTCCAACCAGCAGTATTGTTCTAAATTCCAGGTTTAGGTTTGTACTCAGAAGAATTTTGTATAGAGCAAGAAGATGAAAATATGTCAACTTATCGAATTTTGACCTCTTCTGCATTTAAAAGATACTTTAGAATCTTCACTGGCCATAATTTCAAATTGTTGCATGGAGTTCCTTATAGCTTGTCAGATCTAAGTTAAAGCTTGATAGCCAGATAGAAAGTTGACTTTATAGTTTTGTCTCATTTTTAATTTTAACCAACAAATGATTGCAGTTCCCATTGCTTTCAAGAAGTGGGGTTATGGAAAAACTGATTGCAGAAGCATCTGAAGGAGAAGATGGCTGTGTTATTAAACTCACTGACATCCCTGGTGGCGCTNCTGTGTTATTAAACTCGCTGACATCCCTGGTGGCGCAAAAACATTTGAACTTGTAGCTAAATTTTGTTATGGGGTAAAATTAGAGCTTACGGCAGCAAATGTTGTTTACCTTCGATGTGCCGGTGAGCATCTTGAGATGACTGAAGATTATGGGGAGGGGAATCTGATATCACAGACTGAGGTCTTTCTTAATCAAGTTGTTCTTCGTAGCTGGAAAGACTCTTTGAAGGCACTCCAAACCTGTGATGATGTTCTCTCATATGCTGAAGAACTCAAAATTACAAAGAGATGCATTGATTCTTTGGCTGTGAAGGCGTGTACTGACCCGAACCTGTTTGGTTGGCCTGTCGTGGAGCACGTCGGTCCCTTGCAGAGTCCTGGAGGGAGTATCTTATGGAATGGAATAAGCACCGGAGCTAGACCAAAACATTCAAGTTCTGATTGGTGGTATGACGATGCATCATCTTTAAGTTTACCTCTTTACAAAAGGCTAATTTCTGCTATGGAATCTCAAGGCGTCAAACAGGAAATAATTGCCGGTTCCCTCACTTATTATGCTAAAAAGTATTTGCCTGGGCTAAACAGGCGGCAAAGCTCTACCGAGTCTAGTAACCGTCTTGCACCAGTCGGTTTAGGTTCCTCACTATCTGAAGAACATCAGAAGCTTTTACTTGAAGAGATAGATCATTTACTTCCCATGCAAAAAGGCCTAGTTCCAACTAAGTTCCTCTTTGGCCTACTGAAAACAGCCTTGATTCTTCGAGCCAGTCCCTCTTGCATATCGGACTTGGAGAAAAGGATAGGAATGCAGCTTGATCAGGCCACTCTTGAAGATCTCTTAATGCCTAATTTCTCTTACTCAATGGAGACACTTTACAATGTTGACTGTGTACAGCGGATTCTTGAGTACTTCTTAGCCATGGATCAAGGAACTGGTGGTGAATCACCTTGTTCCATTGATGATGAACAACTAATGGGTTCACCATCTCTGACACCAATCACTATGGTTGCGAAACTAATTGATGGATACCTTGCTGAGGTTGCCCCAGATGTTAACTTGAAGCTTCCCAAGTTTCAGGCTTTGGCTGCTGCTGTTCCTGAATATGCAAGGCCCTTGGATGATGGCCTTTATCGTGCAATTGACATTTATCTAAAGGTGAATTTAGGTTGCTACTTCCCTTATATATGATCATTGCAATGTTCATTCTGAAGTAAATGCTGTCATTATGCCATGCTTACTGAAATTTGCACTTGAACTTGACATCTTATTTAAACTTGACCTACCGCTACCAGCCTGAGGTAGTCCTTTTATGGGCATTTCTAATTGGGTGCACCAGTCTCCAGTGTTTGAAATCCCCACCATTTGTGTGGGGAACCATCAAAACTTTGAAAAGAATGATCACTGACATAAAACTAGATATTGGCTCAGTTTTGTCGGGTCAGAATTTCAGATAGTAAACCTTTTATTCGTCTTTTTGCAGTCACATCCATGGTTGGGAGAATCCGATAGAGAACAACTCTGCAGGCTCATGGATTGCCAGAAGCTCTCCTTGGAAGCTTGCACACATGCTGCACAGAATGAAAGACTCCCTTTAAGGATTATAGTACAAGTACTCTTCTTCGAGCAGCTGCAGTTGAGAACCTCCATTGCAGGATGCTTCCTAGTGTCTGACAACCTTGATGGAGGGTCAAGGCAGTTGAGAAGTGGCATGGTGGGAACAAATGAGGGTGGTGGCTGGGCTACCGCTGTGAGAGAAAACCAGGTTCTGAAAGTGGGGATGGATAGCATGAGGGTTCGTGTTTCTGAGCTCGAGAAGGAGTGCTCAAACATGAGGCAGGAGATCGAGAAGCTGGGACGATCAAAGGGATCGAGCACTTGGGGAAATGTCTCCAAGAAGTTCGGGTTCAAGTTAAAGTCTCAAATGTGCAGTGCTCAGGAGGGATCTGTTAGTAACCAGAACAAGATAAATGGTAAGGCTTTAAAGGATGGCAAGACTAAAGAAAACCATGGAAAGCACAAGAAAAACTTATCTATAGATGAATAATTCTCTCTGTTTCTATTCTTTTAATCATCTTGGTTTGATTCCATTTAGTTTAGGACTCCTCCAATTTCTGTGTCATATATGTTGAGTAGGTTCTTTGACAATCTCGTCTCTGAAGACTACATTAACATGCTCAAGTGTATTTTATGTATCTTGGTTAACATTTTCTCTCTTTTACGTTCAGCAATAAGTGCATACATCAAAATTGCCCAACTAGATCTGTTATTAGGCTGTCTTTGTGAATGAAGAACGTTTTCCTTTCATGTTTGTCATTATGAACCGTGCTCGTTATCTGAAGATGAATACCACTTGGCATGTTAGTAGCTTTAGATTTCTGTGAGTGAGTTCTATGTCGAGGGAGTGCATTAAACCAAAAAAACTAGGATGAAATCTTAAAATTTTCGATTTTTTGGTTCAGTCGGACTTTTGAAATAAAAAATTGAAAAGTTTTACTACTTCCAATATGCATTGTCTTCTATTTTTCTTTTTTCCTTTTTGATCAAGACTGACTTATTAATGAGCATCCAGAGGACCATCTCTACCTCTCATCTCTTCTCTTCGAAGTTCAAGAACACCAAGATGGCTACAATAAGAAACAACCCTAGGGATACCTCCAAAAGCGGATTGGAAGTTGCCGTGGAGATTGTTATGCAAATCAAAAGAAGCAAAGCCGAAATACTAGGACAAGTGCTTGAAGTGCCTTCCACAACTAATGTTTTTGGTTCATCTTCTCGAAAAGAAGTGAGATCCTCTTCGTACATGCTAGAAGAAGGGAAAAACATCGTTGAGGTGGCCGAACGAACTTTGGTGCGATTTAGCCTTTCAAAAGAATATCATCGTCGGTCCCATAATCCTTCCATACAAAAAGATGATGATCTGTTGAGCAGTGAATTTGCTCTAATCTCTCCTCGTGTCACTCCACAATCTGCTCTCTATACAAGTGATGATCCATATCATTCTTCGTCATCTGCGGTGGTCATGCAAACAATGATGATTGAAGCTTCTACCATAGAAGAACAACTTACAAATTTGATAAAAACAATTGGAGGCCTGACAAAGTACATGAAAGATCAAGATGATAAACTTTCCAAGTTGATGAATAAGGTAGAGAGTATGACAAAGGAAGAATCAAGCCAAGCACCTATGAAGCTTCCAGAAATTCAAGAGAAAGGATAGTCCTCTACAAAGCTAACAACAATGACCAAAAAGCTCCAAGTCTCTTCTAATAGACAGATTCATGTTGAGCAATTGAAGGACTTCATCATAGGGCCATCAAGGATAAAATTGAGCCTTCGCCTAAATCTTTCCTTACATACGCAAAGTCGTACACCTAAAGGATTGATAACTTGAAGATGCCAAGTGGATATCAACCCCCTAAGCTTCAACAATTTGACGGTAAAGGGAATCCCAAGTAACATGTTGTACACTTCGTTGAGACATGCAATGATGCTAGAACTTGTGATGATCACCTTGTCAAGCAGTTTGTTCTCTCTCAAAGGAAATGCTTTTGATTGGTACACAGATCTTGAACCTAGTTCCATTTATAGTTGGGAGCAGAAATTCCTCAATCATTTCTGTATCACGAGGCGCATTGTGAGTATGATTGAACTTACAAATGCCCGCCAATGGAAGGAGGAGCCAATTATCGAATTCATCAATCGCTGGAGGAGTTTACGCCTCAACTGCAAAGACCGTATTAGCGAAACTTCTAGCCTTGAATTGTGCATCCAAGGTATGCATTGGAGTCTTCGCTACATCTTGCAAGGAATAAAGCCTAAAACTTTTGAAGAGTTGGCCACTAGTGCACATGATATAGAATTGAGTATGGTTACAAGTGGAGACCAAAAATTTCCTAGCTTTAAGCCTCATGATGAAATAGAAGCAGACGATGCTGAGAATGGGGGCAAGTATTCATCCGAAGATGAGACTGAAGAGTCCAGGCATGTTACATCGCTCCTTGACGTATGAGCCTAAACTGCAAGTCATAACGCTCTTTGACGCATGAGCCTAAACTTCAAGTTGAGATGCTCCTCAATACACGAGCCTAAACTGTATGCCACGAAGTTTCTCAAATTCTAGCCAAGTCGTAAAGTTTTAAATCTCCATGAATTTGAGCCAAATCTTCAAAACTAAAAAAAAAAGAAGAAAAAAAAAATCACCAAATTCGAGCAAACTCTTCAAATTGCAAAGCTCTTCAAAATTGAGCTAAGACTTCAAGTTGCAAAGCTCTTCAAATTTGAGCAAAGTCTTCACGAGTATAAACTGCAATATATATATATATATTTTTTTTCTTTTGAATTATGTAATGACTTGATCCTCTTTGCTGGGGTATGTAGGCAACTTAGAGTTCATTCTAAGTTCAGTCACTTAAGCAAAAAAAAAAAATAAAGTCAATTCCTTTTTATGATAGCCAAAGAGGATGCTAGCTCCACGTATGCGCCATGCGCTTCTTTGGTAAGTTAAAAGAAGAAGTTACTCCACAACAAATGTTAAAGGATAATGCACCATGTTTTCTTTCATCCAACCCCATAAAATGCTTTATGTGCTTCTTTCGATTGATTGATAAGACACTCTACTCTGTAGCTCGAAATATGGAGCACTACATATATCTTTTCACTAAGCCGTGAGAAGGACGTTCATGCACTTCTTCTCCAAATTGCAATAAGAGGTCTCCACTGCTTGAAGAATGAGACGCTCTGCGAACTTCTTCACCAAATTGCAAGAAGACATGGTTCTACACTAAATCTTGGAGGTTAGGACACTCCATGAACCTCCTCACCAAGTTGCAAGAATGGTCGTTCCATGCCAAAATATTGAAGGTTAGGACGCTCCATGAACTTCCTTATCAAGTTATAAGAAGGTGTCATTCCATACCATAGCTTGAAGGATAGGACACCCCATGCACTTCTTCGACAAGTTGAAAGAAGAGGTGCTTCCACGCCAAGGGTTGAAAGAGGAATGGTTCACGTACTTGCTTGCAGAGGAAGTAGCTTTCCAATTGTCTCGCCAAGCCAAACGAAGGGGAGATAAGTCATCCTTTCGCGCCAAAGGTGAAAAGGAGTTACTCATAAATGTCCCCTTCTACAGCAGCAAAAGTAGGGATATGCCATGAGATTCTCTCGCCAAGCCGCCATAAAGAGACGAATGGTCCAACATCAATCTTGTGGACATCTAGTGAATCTTCTAAGAGATATCAAGACCACTAATACTTTGTTGAAAATCTGCGAAAAAAGAAGAAAAAAAAATTGGAGTCCTCGGTGCCAATCACTACTAGAAATCCGGGGAAAAACGACCGCAAAAAGCGACCAGAGTTGGTCGCTATTGGGCTAAAAAGAGACCAAAACACGACCACAGGGGCCTGGTAGCAATATTGATGGTCCCTTTTATTTAGGGACCAAAGTTGGTCGCTAATTAGCGACCAACTTTGGTCTCTAAACTAAATAGACCAATTTTTCCGGATATTGACTATAGAGACCAACTTTGGTCGCTTTATTAATTTAATAATATAAATTTGGCGATCAAAGTTGGTCTCTAAATATAAAATACGTTTTTATTTATTTATTATTAATCATTAAAAAGCGACCAACTTTGGTCTCTAATCCAAATATTATATTTTAAAATCTGGAAACTAGAGACCAATGTTGGTCGCTTTTTTATTCAATTATTTATTTATTTTATTAAACTAGCGACCAACTTTGGTCCCTAAATACATGAATTTAATTTATTTTTTAAATATTAGCGGACAACTTTGGTCGCTATATCACCAGAATGTTTTTTTTTTTAATGAAATAGCGACCAAGTTTGGTCGCTTTTTGTAGAAATCTGGGTATATAGCGACCAACGTTGGTCGCTATTCTCCAAAAAATTATTTTTTTTAACATGAAAAGCGACCAAATAGAGACCAACTTTGGTCGCTTTTCTATGTATTATTTTGGCAGAAACTGCCTGTTTTGGCAGCTACACCACCTGCCAGTCATACCAAAAGCCTAACAAGCAACAACAACAACAATTCAAACAACAATTCCAATAACAAGNACTGCTGTGACCCGAGTGGCTGTGACCCGACTGGCTGTGACACTGATGACTGTGATCCATGTGGTTGTGACATGGATTGATGCAATCCATGTGATGCTGTTGGGCGAGATCCACGTGGTAGTGAGGCAGGTGGACTGTATGTCGGACGCACAGTCCGATGGCCCTGTGAAGAAACACCCGGGGTCTGCACAAAGGTGTAGGGCTGGTGATGCTGTGGAAACTCAGTATAGCCATGGGGTAGAGGCTGTGGCATAGTGATAGGCAAATCAGAAGATGGTGGAAAAGATTGATGAGTAGTATCTTCTACCCTCCTCTTTTGCTTCCTAGCCTTTTCTCGACCCCGAGAACCACTACCTTCATTGTTACCTCGACCCTTGCTTGTCATCTACATAATATAATACATATTTAGATTGAAACATATAAGGAAACTATCTATAAACGAGAGTTATCGAAGAAACCAATTTTTTAAAGCTCATCAACATATTCTTCC